CCGCGGGCCCGCTGCACTGTGGGTAAGCGCCGCATTCGGGAGCCCGCGGCGGCGGCGGCGGCGGCGGAGCTCGGCTGCGCGCGCCGAAGATGGCAGAGAAGCAGAAGCACGACGGGCGGGTGAAGATCGGACACTACGTGCTGGGCGACACGCTGGGCGTCGGCACCTTCGGCAAAGTGAAGAGTGAGTGCGCGCCCGAGGCGCTGCTGCGGGCTGCCCGCCGCGCGGGGTGGGGGGCTGTGGGGCTCGGGCCGGACTGCGGGAGCCCCGGGCCTGGCGGCAGGTGGGGGGGCCCCGGGAGGGCGGCGGGCGGCGGCGGCTGGAGCTGGGCAGCGGGCGGGGCACGGGCGCCCCGGGTCCGGGGCCAGCGCCCAGCCGCCTCCCCTGTCCGGTGGTCGGGAGCACGGCGCCCCCTGCCTCCCGGACCTCGGTGCCCTGCTTTCCGAACCGGGCAGATGGGACTGGCCGGTAAGGTGCGCGCCAGCCCCGAGACCGTGTGGATAGGGCTGGGGAATGACATCCGTTACTGATGATTTCGAGTCCCCATTTCGTGCCAGCTGCCCTGTTAGGTGCTTGACATGTGGTTTCATGTCATCCTAACAGCAGCTGGATGCAGGTGCCATCCTCACCTTGAAGGTGAGAAAACGGGGACCCCCTAGAGGGGTAGGGCAGTGCCCAAGGTCACGCAGAAATTGGCAGAACCAGGATGAAGTGTAAAATGTCTTCCAGTGCTGGCCAGGCTGGAGGTCCTCGCCATCCGGATTCTTTCGCGCTCCGTGACTCTGGGTTTGGGGGCCGAGGGGCGGGTAGGTCTTTCTGCCGGGCGTGGGAAACGCTGGAATGCAGCTGGACTGGGGAGGGGCTCATTAGAACGGGGAAGTCTGAAGGTTGGTTGGCATGTGTACAACGGCTCTAGGAAGGCTTCTGGGATGAGGGGAGAACCAAGTTTCCGTGGCGTTGGACCCTGTGGGGTGTGGGGCTGAGGAGGCCAGAAGGGCTGAAGCGGATTTTGCTGAAGTCCCTTTTATTGATGATGGGATACCATTTTAGGTGTAGAAAAACAGGCTGCTATAGAAATTTTTTACTTAGTACTAGTTAACTATTAAACTTGCCTTTTTTTGTTGTTAGCAGGAGTCACATGGGATTTCATTAATTTGTCCTCTCTCCAGAACTAGAGCCAGCTTATTAAAAATACTTTCCGTTTGATTGTTGCAAATCCAGAACTACTAGTTCCATGTTGGCTTTTTAATTTTTTTTTTGCTGGAGAAATGTTGGATAGGCAGCCTGGAGATCTCATGCTGAGACTTCTATTTTCCTTAAAATTCATATTTTTACCTTAAATCTATTAAATAGAAGAAACGTATTGCGCACCCCCGTTGCCAGAACCAGCTCTTATTTCCTTACACATATCTGATACCCTTTCATTTGTTCAGAAAATGCTTATTGAGCTCCTACAATGTGCTAGGCACTGCTGTAGAGAATAGGGTCCAGCAAGGAACAAATCCCGATTAAAACCCTCCTTTTGTGGAATAGGGGAAGGCAGTAACCACAATGTATATGCAAACTATCATAGCATGTTTAGTGCTATTGAGAAAAACGAATTGGGGGAGGGAGGCCAGGGAGTTTTGTTCGGTTAGCAATTTCCAATAAGGTGTCAGGCAAGAGCTCACGGACAAGGTGGTATTTGTGTCCAGACCTAAAAAGGTTGTACAATTCTTTGATGTCCCATGAGGGCTGTGAACTTTTGGGTTGTTTTTGAAAGGCCTCATAGAGTGGGTGGCAAGCATATGTGTTAGAATGAATATAGGAAGACCCAGGGATTGGATTAATGCCTGAAACGTTACTTATCATTAAATATCATTGCTGAGGACTATTGTGTTTCAACATGATGCAGCTACTCCATCAAATGGTGTGTTTGCTGTCTGGACATGTACGCGCTCAAAGTTAGGTAACTTACCCTATGTCCTCAATGTGTTAAGATTTTTCATTTATTTCTTTAAATTCTTCAACTGTAATATGAATGTAGATTACAGCACCCATCACTTCAATTGGCCCTTTGTCAAAAGGACAACTTCAGTCTCTTTTGTATATACTGCTCTTGAGCTGCTTCCAGGCACTGGCTTCTTAAAATATAAACCAATAGAAGGTGCTTTTATGAGAAATCCTTTGCCTGGAGGAGGACCCCTGTCCAATGAGCAGCCATTCGGAGGGGAGTCCTAACACTGTGTTAGAACCTCTCTGAAGTTAGGTTGTGGTTTTTCCCATCCACAGTTAGAATTAGTACAATTGTTTGTTTAATACAAATTATAGCAGTTGCTACAATCTAAAGTTACTCATTTAATTCTTCAAGGGACAAGAAACAAAAGCACATGCATTTTTAAAAACAGCTTTGTTAGGTATATTTTACATATCAGAAAATCCACTCAATTCCAAGTGTACAATTCAATGATTTTTAGTAACTTTACCAAGAGGTACAACCTTCATGATAGATCAATTTTCGAACATTTTAATCACCACAGTAGGATCACTTATGTCCATTTACAGTTAATCCTCACTCCTACCCTCAGCCCCAGAAAATACTATGTTTTCTGTCTGTATAAATTTGCATTCTCTGGACACTTTTTATAGTCGGGGTTATTCAATATGGAGTCTCTCATGTCTGGCTTCTTTAACAATGTTTTTGAGGTGCATGCATGACATAGCATGTGTTAGTAGCTTGTTCCTTTTTATTGCCGAATAATGTTCCAATGTGTGGGTATGCCACATTCTGTCTACACATTCACCAGTTGATACATTGTTTTCAGTTTTGAATTATTACAAATAATGTTACTACAAACTTACTTCACATGTAAGTCTTTGTGTGAACATATGTTTTTATGTATCTTGGGGATATAACTAGGAATAATTATATCCTAGGTCGTATCATAGTTTTATGTTTAACTTTTTGAGAAACTGCAAACTTTTCCAAAATGGTTGAACTTTTTTACAGTGCCACTAACAATGTATGAGGTTTCTCATTTTACCATACCCTCCCCAATGTTTGTTATTGTCTGTTCTATTATAGCCATTCTAATGGGTGTGAAATGGTGTCTTATTATGGCTTTAATTTGCATTTCCCTAATGACTATTGATGTTGAACATCTTTTCATGTACTTATTAGCCATTTGTATATCTTCTTGGGTAAGATGTCTGTTCCTATCTTTTGCTTATTTTTGGATTGGGTTGTTTGCCAATCATAAGTTGAGTTATAAGAATTCTTTATAAATTCCAGATACAAATCCCTTATTGGATACGTTTTGCAAATATTTTTTCCCAGTCTGTTGTTTGACTTTTTATTTTCTTAATGATGTCTTGGAGTGTAAAAGTTTTGAATTTTTATGAGGTCTAATTTATTGATTTTTTTTTCCTTTTATGGACCATGTTTTTGGTGTTATATCTAAGAAACCTTTGCTTTAGGCCTGAAGGATTTTCTCTTATGATGTCTTCTAAGTGTTCTATTCTTTTAGCTCTTATATTTCTGTCTCTGACCCATTTTGAGTTAATTTTTGAGTGTGGAATAAGATGAGGTCCTAAGGTCATTTTTTAAAATATGGATGTCCAATTATCCCAGCACCTTTTGTTGAAAAACACGCGTGTTTTTAAAAGTTGTTATAGATTTAGATTTTGTAAGGTTAATTTCTACTTAAAAAAACTTAATAGGAGATGATTTCATTTTATATGGCTGTAAAAACATGGAAATGGAAGAGTGAGGAGCATTTTATGCTTTCTCTCAATTGTTATGCTAATTATAGATTTTGAAAATGACATCGTTTTCATTTAATAGTACTGGATTCAAGTGAGTTTTAAAAAGTATATGGAATTATTTATTTATAATTGTCTTATTTAAAATGTTTAAAATGAATTTTCTCCTTCATTATTCTGTTGTACAATTATTTATGGAAACAGACTATGTGGGCTGACAGAGTTTAAAAGTAACATTTTTTATTTATTTAAGTCTTTTTCTCTATATTGATTGTTTCGGTTCTTACTGTTTCCAGGATAGGGTGGAGCTGCTGTTTAAGAGCTCTTGTAATTAGACTTGTTCAGTGCTTATCTAAATTAGTAGAGGTGATAGAAATTCTAGAAGAATAGATCTGTTGTTTGTGTTATACAAAGACTGGTTGAAGAAAAAACATATTTATAATGTAATGTGAATTATTTATTTAAAAAGAATCCTGCATTTTCAAGGAGAGGGTTGATAGATTTTTTTTTTTGAAATAATTACTCTGTATCGGAATTATACACCGAGGGATACTTTGTAAGCACACTAACCTCTTTATAGCCAGCAAAGACTCATCAAGGAATTACCTTCTCTGTTTTTCATATAATGAATTGAGTGGCTCACAGAATTGGCTCTTAAGAATTTCAGTAAATGTTTTACTCATTCCCAACTTATTTTTGAGATAACTGGAAAGATAAGCAAATAGAACTTTCCCTGAAAAATTTTAACAAGCAGTGTTACCTTTTTTGAAATGTAAATTCCAAGTTTCAAATGATAAATTGAATTTTGGGCAAATACGTGGTCAGTTGGTGGACCTGAGGGTTGTGCTGGTGGCATTTTGGGCTCTTACTGGGATTATTTTTGACTCCCAGGAACAAGACAGAGAGGTTTCTCTCTGGGCTGTGTTTTTTTCTAGAAAGAATGCTAGAACATGTTATCTGTCAGGGATTTTACAACTTTACCATTAAAAAGATTTTTGAAAGATTTAATTTCAAAATGGCTGTATTTTATTTTTCCTTCTGTTTTAGTGGAAATTTGAATTATTGAAGACCAGAGCTGAAATGTAGAACAAAAGAAAAAGGAAACGTGTTTGTAACACTTTAGTGGTAAAAGTTACAACTTGATTCAGTTTTTATTATATCCTAAGTACTATTTGTATACTTGATTTTATTTATTCCCCAGGGTAATCCTTCATTTTACAAATGAAGAAATTGAGAATGAGATACTTTAAGTAAGTTGCCCAAGGTCACATTGCTAGTAAGTGACAGAATTGGCAATCAGATTCAGGATTCTCTGACTCCAAAGTTTGTGCCATATGGAATGTAAAGTCAAAATGCATAGCATGTTATCTTGTTCTAGCATGTTATTTTGTGAGTTTCAAACCTACAAGTATATAATTTTACATGTCTGTAGATGTTTATCA